CTAGGTGGTGGTACCTTACTTCTAAAGCAGTGGTTCTCAACCTTCCTAATGCTGTGACCCTTTGGTTCCTCATGTTGTGGTGACCTCCAACCACAAAAGTATTTTTTGTTGCTACTTAACTGTAATTTTGCTACTATTATGAATCATATTGTAAATATCTGAGACGCAACCCCTTGAAAGAGATCACAGGCTGAGAACCACTAATCTAGAGGCTAGTCTATGAATCCACTTTGGTTTCCTAAGAGATTATAAAAGCTTTAGGTGGAACAGTGTGATAGTCTGTCTTCTACAAGGATCTGGAACTACCTAGGAGATGAGCCTTCAGGCACACCTGTGAGAGAGGGATTACTGAGCCTCCAGGCATGTCTAATAGGAATTATATTGACTTAGGTAGACTGAGGTAGAATGGCCCACACTGAAAGCAAGCAGCACCATTCTAAGCATGGTCCTAAAATGTATAAAAAGGAAAAAAGTGAGCTGAGCACCAGCATCCATCACCCTGCTTCCTGACTACAGGTGTGACAAACAGATGCTTCAAGTTGCTGATACCTTGACATCTCCATGAAGGGCCCTTGAATTTTGAGTGGAAATAAAATCTTTCTTCTTTGAGTTGCTTTTGTCAGAATATTTTATCATAGCAACATGAAAAGAAAATAAGATATACAGACTTCAAAAACAACAAAAGCAAGCAAGCAAACAAACAAAAAACCCCAAAACCCTAAAATGAGCAAGGCAGCACATACCTGTAATCCCAGCACCAGGGAGGACTTGAGTTTTAGGCCAATTTAGGTTACATAATAAGTCCCTATCAAAAAAGTAACTATAACAACACAAATAATTTTAATGTCTGTGTCTCTCTTACACAAATAAATATATACACAAAACACAGCACACTGAATCTGTCATTACATGAATACTGCTATGCAAGATGAAACTAAAATATGAGACAAGCTACAGCAAAGTTATCAAGCAAACACCCGAAACTTTTAAGACTACACTTAGTAAACAATAGGATAAATGAACAACTTTTCCTAAATTTATGAAGATGTATGTAAATAGCTACAAATCAGAAACGTTAAATTTACTTTTGTATACACGAAGAGCCTTATTGGCTCACACCTGGTCATATGTATCAAGTACCAACAAAATCTAAGGGAAGAGATTAACTTTTCAAAATCCAGCCCCAGGGTGGGGACATAGCAAAGTGGTAGAGCACCTTTGTAACATGGGTGCTAGGTTCTGTGCCCAGTGCCATAAAAATTGTTTTTAAAAACAAAAACTAGGCTGAGCATGGTGGTGTATGCTTTTGATTCCAATAGTTAGACAGATCTCTGTGCAAGGCCAGCTTGATCTATATAGCAAGTTCCAGGCCAGCCAAGGCTATATAGTGAGATCCTGTCTCAAAAAAAAAAAAAAAAAAAAAGGAAGGAAGGAAGGAAGGAAGGAAGGAAGGAAGGAAGAAAATAAAAGGCTAAGAACTAGAGATACATACTGTTCTTGCAGAAACCCAGAGTTCAGGTCTCAGGACCCACCTTGGACAGCTCACAACCATTTGCAAAGCAACTGCAGCTCCAGGGAATCTGATGCCCTCTTCTCGATTTTTCAGGCACCTTCACTCACATGGGCATGACCCCCATACTGACATAATTAAAAATAAATCTTTTAAAAAGCTAGGCTTTAATACATGAGCTTCCTATTGTTACCAGAACTCTGGCTAACAGGCTCTAAATGATTGGAATTATCGCAGTGAAAAACCATCACATGTGTAAATTACCATCTTTTCCTGGTTCTCAAATGTCAAAATCTTTGAGATAAACAACAGTCATCTCAGAAACTTCTGAGTCAGATGAGATGGGGTCATGAACTTCAATCCTTCTCTTTTATTAATTGGTAAACTTGTCAAAAGTAAAAACCTTCCATTTTTTTCTTCACAGAATATGACTCAGAATTGGACCTACTACAAGGATTTAAATAATAAAATTCCAAGCTACTTTAATACAACAGCTCTTAACGATAACAATCCATAGACTAATAGACATAGATTACAGGAGTCTCCTCTGGCAAAACTGCAAATGGTTACAGCACTTCAGGCTGCAGTTTCACTAGTCTCCCTTAGTTTTTGATATGAACAAGATCAAAACCTGATCTCTCCATCCTCTCAGTACCCTACACTCTCAAGTGATCTCTGCATCCTCCCAGTACCCCACTCTCAAGTGATCTCTGCATCCTCCCAGTACCCCACTCTCAAGTGATCTCTGCATCCTCCCAGTACCCCACTCTCAAGTGATCTCTGCATCCTCCCAGTACCCCACTCTCAAGTGATCTCTCCATCCTCCCAGTAGCCCACTCTCTCAAGTGATCTCTGCATCCTCCCAGTACCCTACACTCTCAGTTGACCTCTGAATCCCAATATCCCATATTCTCTTTCTCAACTGATCTCTCCATCTCCCCTGGCCCTCATATCATTTCTCAATTGATCTCTGTCATCTTCCCAGTATCCCATAGCTTTCTAAATTGTCCTAGCTTAGATCTCTTCTTGCTTATGCACTGAAACATTGAAGGATACCAGACTGCTATCTTCTCTTCATGTCCCACTGTTCTTTAAAGTCCAGCTCAAATACTACCTCCACTATAAAGCCTTTATTCACCACCACCACAAAGATGAGCACTTCCTCTTCCTCTGTTCTCCCTCAGCAGCCTCAAAGACTCCTATAAGTCTAAATGGCAGGGCATCTGCAATTACTCATGTTTGACACACACCCCCAGCCAAACTGTCAGCCTCTACAGTGCGAACTGTATAGTCTCATTTGTCTCTGAATACAGATCCCTACCAAAAGCTTGGCACACAGTAGGTGTCTGACAACTGTCTGCTTTAGAACTCCCTTATCTCACTAGCTTATGCAGAATGGTGAACAATATATTCAGATACATAGGCTCAAAAACTGCATTTTCAATCATTTCAGGAGTTAGGGGGAGGGGTGCTTATTTGTTTTTAGGGTTTTTTGGGGGGGGGTTGTTTTGCTTTGCTTTTGTTAACAGGGTCTATGTATCTCTGGCTGGCCTGGAACTCACTTTATACACCAACATGTCTTCAAATTTACATGATTTTCCTGCCTCCCAAGTGTTAGGATTACAGGCATACATAACCACACCTGGTATCTGGGGGGGGGGGTTTGTTTGTTTGTTTTTTTGAGACAGGGTTTCTCTGTAGCTTTGGAGTCTGTCCTGGAGCTCACTCTGTAGACCAGGCTGGCCTCGAACTCAGAGATCCGCCTGCCTCTACTGGGATTAAAGGCATGTGCCACCAATACCCAGCTGGTATCAGGTTCTTTTAATTATCACCTCAAAACAGCTTTCTCTTTGATGATCCAAGAAGACAGCATTAGCCAGAGTGTTTCTAAATTTTTAAGACAACTAATCGCTTCCCTACCCAGATCTCAGCAAGGTCCTTAGCAGCAGCTGTTATCGCAGGGATTCATTCCTAACTTAGTAGATACAGGTGTTAAATAGTGGGGTCACCATGTTTCACTCCCCTAGGTGTAGGTAAGGAAGGCTGTGAGATGCTGGAAATTTCCAGGACACAGAAGCCAAAGGGGAAAAACAAAACTGAATCAGGTTGCCATCTTTGCTCAACACTATCTTCCTACTATCTTCATTAGGACCAAAGATTAAGTCACAACCCAGGGCTGGCATTTCATTAGACTATAACAGTCCAAATCATTTCCCTCTCATTTAAAACAGAACCAAAAGCTTTTATTGTTTAAGGGGGGAAAAAAGCAACCAAATTTTAACATTACCCTAGTCATCTTAAACAAAAACATTTTAAAGCCCATACCTATAATGCTAGCACTTAGGAAGCTAAAACAGATAAGGGGATTCCAGGCCAGCCTGGGCTATGTAGCAAGACCGGGTTTTGAAAAACAGAAATAGGAAAGAGAGAAAGACAAAAATGGATGGATGGATGGATGATGGATGGATGGATGGATACACACACACACACACACACACACACCTGCTTTTCAAACAGGTCAGGCAGTTTTTACTAACCAAAATTTAATTCCATCTATTTCAAAAGAAGAAAATGCTAAAATATTAATAGCTTATTTACTTTCGGGTCAACAAAAATCAATGTAATCAACAAAGCAAACTCTGCCCACAGCTGTAATGTGCCAATCATTCCATAATCCTTCAGCACAGGAAAAAAGACAACGTCAAACATGACTATTCTGTTATTTTGCCCCCCAAAATATGTACAATTAACCTCAAAGGAAAAAATTTAACTAGAATAGTAATTTTTGAACGATATTATGTGTTCATGAAGCCTTCCCACCACATCACCTTATAACGTATAATTTAACAATGGCGTAACTTCTACACCGGGTCTAGAGCCACCTGTGCAGCCAAAAATACCGGGCAGCAATGTGGGAGAGTCAGAATCGTGTCTAGAGATGCCCGGCTGCATGACAAAATCAAGAGTCTGCTTCTACTACTCGTTCTAGGGGCTTATTTCGAGAGAAAACCCGAGCGGGCTGTGCCCCTGTCCCCCGCGCGGGGCCCCGGGGGGGGGGGGGGGGGTTGGGGGGGAGATGGAGAGGCTAAGTAAAGCACCATAAGGTCGTCAATTTTAATTGCTGATGTCGTTAATTTTCCATCTTGGTTAAAACGACAGTGCTGACAGAAAGGTACAAAAACCTAGATGGGCAGCCACCACTCCGACCCTGCATGTTCGCTGACTAATGGAGAAGACTACAGATCTCAAGACCCAGGGTGTGGCTACCACCTACAGGGTGAATATGGTAGGAACGGATTAGAAAAGACAGCAAAACATAGCCTTGGAAAAAGAGGTAGGCATCAATGGGGACTGAAAGGGGGTATGAAAAGGAGTAAGTGCGTCCATACAAGAAGACCGAAGGGAGGGAGGAGCAGGGTGGGGGTGGGGGGGTCCAGGACTGGGGAGGTCCACTCGCGTCCGAGGGAGACTGGAGTTGGGATGTACCTACCCGTCGAAGCGGACGGTGCCAGTCTGCTGGGTCTGCACACGGTAGTGTTCTAACAGCAAGCGCACCACCTTGGCGTGCCCATTGC